ATTCCTAGGGATCAGGGCACCTCAGATCCATCACAGTATTACAGAAGCAACACTGAGAATAACCAATCAGACAGTGATTCATTTAGTAAGATATTGGATGATGATTGCTGATTGTAGAATAGCAATGGATATATCCTGCCAAGATTAAACTCACATTCTACTGGGACTACATGATAAAATCTGTGAATAACTGCAAAATATGAAAAAATACAGTAAAGCCATGCACAGCACATGGTTGACTGCAGATGTTTCCAGAGTATCTAATAGGAACTTATAAAGAAATAGCATAGTGCAGGAGGTGGTCACAGAGGCACATTTTGAATGAAACACACAATGAAGAACATCAAGGTGCAGAACCCATGGAGACCTAGTCCTCAGGCTATTCTTGACAGAGGCACTAGCTGGCACAGGCTTATTGTCAGAGTGTGCTGTACTGTATCAAATGAAGGAAGTGCAGTGTGGGCAGATGGAGCAAGAGGATGAGCAAGACGACCACTCAAGTCAAGGGATAGTGAGACCCTTACCCACAGTGAGGTGACTTTACCGTCTGGGTCAGGAGGCAGTGAGACTCTGACCGACAGTTAGGTGACAGACTACTAGATCTTCCCTTTGCTCAGGATGGTTAATTATTGACAACAGCCTGTGCCCACATTTAGCTATTTAATTTGAAAATTGAAGATTAAAACTTATGTTTCCTGTTAAACTGACACTGTTTCAAAAACTTCCTGGTCCTGGAGTAATTGGACACTCAGGTATAGAGCATTTCTATCAGGCTGGACATTTCTATGCTGCTGGGCTCTCTATCTACAGAGCACAATGGGACTTGGGAATTAGTGGGTTGTGGATTACTTTACGGTTTTGTTGGGGGCCCCTGCATAGCTATGTGAGAAAAAATGAATTGAACCTCGCCATCTGAAACTCCTTCAGCAATACTTCACAAGGATCCAGAATCTTAAGTTTGAATAGGAAACCATAAAGGTGCTGGAAGAAACTATTAGAGGATTTTTTTCCCTGTAGAGTTTCATGTACAAACCTAAAGGCATAAAAGGAAAGATTGTTAATTATACTTTGGGGGGGGTGCTGGGGCTTGAACTCAGGGCTCTGTGCATACAAGGCAAGCACTCTACCAACTGAGATATATCTCCAGCTCTAATTATACTATTTTAAATGCAAAATTTTGCATTGCCAAAAGGCCATGAAGGCAGAAAACAATGAACTAGGAAAATATTTGAATATTGGTACTGACAAAGAATTAATTTCCTTAATGTATGAAAAGCTCACGTGTTAATAAGAAATTGACTACAAGTTCAGAAGAACTCTGGGCAAAGCAGCATCAGAGGCACTTCACAGACAGATATACAAATCTCTCATCCCTGAAAAAAAGATGCTCTATCTCTGATTATAATAGAAACAAATCAAGAGTGTGTTGGAATCCCTGTTGTCATAGGTCAAACTTTCGTTCATGCCCTGGGTCAGGAGCAGGCAGGTGAGCAGATCTGACTGTCTAAAGCCTGAACATACACCATGGACATCGTTAGCTCCAAACACACACACCTGGGTTCTAGCAGTTTTACTTCCAGCCAGTTTTCCTGCAGAGTAACACATATGCAGAATTGCCATGCTCAAGGTTATTCATTATGGTGGTGTTCAGAATAAAGAGGGATTTGGAAAGTCTAAATTTCCAATGATGAAAGGATGGTGAAATGCTTTTCGGCACATTTGTCCTCTGGAAGCATATGCAGTCAACAAAAGGGATCTGAGCCCCTTCATGACTTACAGAAATGAGTAGGAAGGTGTATGAGGCAGTGAGAGAGTTTATCTCTGGGGGAAATAAAGGAAGGAAAAAGGAATGTTATATGTTGATTTATTTGTTTGAATTAATTCTGATAGCTACAAGAATCCACAATACATAGTAGTATTTGATTCCTCCTGGGAGGGAGTCAGCCCAGAGCGGACGTGGCAAGGAGGCTTATCAGGCATGTGTGTAGTCTTGAGCTGTCTATCAAGTAAATGTCAGGAATAAAATCTTACATAGAGACCAAGGGAAAGATATTATCATATCTACAAACCAGAGATTTTACCACCCACAGACCCTAACCAAGAAAACAATCCAGTGTGTTTTAGCAAAAACAAAGTGAACCTAGATTAGGAGGCAGGGATGATAGGGAAAAGAAGAGACGTCAGAAACTGGTGAAAGTCCTGGTAATGTAACTGACTCTTGACCATACTAAAGAAGTACTTATTTTTGTGTGTTTTGTAAAACTTGGAAACCACTGTGGCTAAGAAGAATTTGTGGCCTTATGGAATTTGGAGAAGAATGGCCAATTGGTGAGGAGTTACTAGAGTGCTATCTGGGGAGACGAGATGACCTTGCCTAGGGCAAGTTGGAAGTCACTGTGTCTGATGAAAAGTCCTTGTGGCATCTACTGTGGGGGGCAGACATCTGTGTAACTCTCCCAATTTTATTCATCTATTTATCTATTTATTTATTTGGTAGGCAGACACAATACCTTTATTTTATTTATTTATTTTTTATGTGGTGCTGAGCATCAAACCCATTGCCTCATATGTGCTAGGCAAGCACTGTACCACTGAGCTGCAAACCCAACCCTCTCATTTTATTAGTTTTCACAGTGAGTCAAGAGTAAGGGCCATTATAGAGAAGATAGCAAGATGGTTTTCATGTGGCACCAAGGACATAAAGATGCCTGGTCCTGAACTTAAGGTGACAGTTGTAGGCTCTCAGATGTGAGAGAGGAAGTGAGGGTTCTATGGTATTCAGCACTGGTATTGGCCAGGTGGACAGAGAGAGAAAGGAACTCTGCTCTGTAGACATAAGCAGATTTCTACCAAATCATAGCTGGAAAGAGGGGTGGGGGTTGGGGATAGTGCAAGAGGTAGAATCAGTGGGTTGTGTTCCAAGTGAGTTGGATTAAATCATAGAAAACCAATAGAGCTGCTCAAAGTGTGTCCCTTCTAACACTTAGGGACTTCCGACCTCTTGTGTATTTTCTTAGGGATATGCCACTGTTGACTTTCCTCAAGTAGAGAGTGCATCCCTCTTGCCTCTCCATGTCTCTATCACTCCCCTGGAAGACTAGCAATCCCCAAAAGCTGAGCTCAGATGTTGAATGTTCCACATATCTGGTGAAGATGGTGGGTTGGAGACTCAAATGGCTGTTGGCTGTTCCACAAAGTGTGACCCATGTCTTCCTTGTTTATAACTGAGTATGGAGTATATTGGCTAACATTTAGAAGGGTGAATGTCATCACAACAAATCATTTTTCCCTGGAAAGAATATAGAAATAGAAATAGATGTTACTATAGATTACCTGATACATTTACTTACAGAAAAGCAGACCAAGACCTTGGGTAACAGTTGCCTACCTCTCCTAGACACCTCTGATGATGACAGTGTTGTCTTTTGCAGCTCAAAAGCCTAGCTTGTAAAGTCAGCATGTGGCTTCCCAGAAGACTCTGTCTGCCTACCATGATGCATTTCAAAAACTTCTTAGATTCATTGTAATTTTCCATTGCATGAATCATCTCATGCTTCAATTCCATGATACCTCCCATATTCATCCTAATAATTAAGTGAACAATGACATTTCTACGTTCTATTTAACTTTCTTATTAAGAAAGATTTAGCTGATTAAAAACTTCCAAAAATATTCTGTAAAAAATGATCAAATGTTGATGGTACCGATAGAGATAGTATACTCAGAAGCACGTCTCCATCTGCCCTTGATTCTAGCAGAGAGTGACATAGTAATTAATCAACTGTGGTGAATCAAATTAACTACATTTGTGGCATCTTAGCTTTAAGAGAATGAAATACATTGTAGCAGAGGTATTTCAAAATGTTTCAAAGTTTTTACTTTTAATATTTTATATTAAATATCTTGAAACCATATATTCTATTATATATCTCAGTGATTTTGCTTCATCTTTGTTATTGTTTGTTTTAAAATAAAATGTTCATCTGTTAAACACTAATTGGGATATTCATGCATGTTTGCCAAACATAAGAGAGTCACTTTGCCATATTTTTAAATGAAAATGTGAGCATTAAGAAGATTTATACTACCCAATATTAAAGAGTGTGAAAGAAAGCAGCCCTCTTATAGTTAGTTTCCTTTCTAGATGGTACATATAGAAAGTCAGCAAAAGGCTAATACCCTTCAAATCAGTAATTCCATCTGTAGGAATTTATATGAAGGAACCAAGTGGCCAGGTGTGCAGAAGAGTAGGCAGTAGGGGTGGTCATAGCAACCATGCATGACAGGCCTAGTCTGCCTCCATGTGCAGAGTTTAAGAGAACAGTTAACTATAATCTGTAAAAATGTATAATACATGTGGCATGATCCCATGTGCCTATGTGTCTGCATATGTTTCTGTGTTTCTGTATTCATACAAGTGTGTATACCTTTAGGGGGCATTGATGTGTCTGGATGTCTGTATATATCTGTATGCATCTGTGTGTGTCTGTGTCTGCATATATTCTGTGTGAGTGCACATACATGTCTGTGCATGCTTGTCTATGACTGTTTGTGGGTATGTACACCCAGTATATATGCGTTATCAATACATATGGAGAAAAGGTTTGGAAAAACTGCACCAAAATGTTGAAAGTTTCATGACATGATAATGAATGGTATGTTTTGTGGACTATTATATTTTCTGTTTCATATTCATGAGATAGTTTTATTTTTTATCTTATGAAAACTCAGAAGTTTATAAGTAACTTAATGTGCATTTAAATAATCATAGAAGTTCCTTTCTCCTGGCTAGATATATAATTGACTCACTTTTTTGGTGAAATTCTTGGTTTATTAAAAGTGGTATTTATGTCAGTGGTTAGATTTTATTGAGCTATTTGTTATTTTATCTTCATTGAATATTTTTGGAGAAACAATTCTCATGTAGTCAGGACAAATAAATGTGTGGTTACATTATGTAATATTTACCAGTGCACATCAGTTCCCTTTGTTCTTTACAGATGGTGACATTAAGATCCAGCCTGAACGACGGCTCTATACTGTTAGTTTGCCTCCTGAGGGGTATGTTCCCTGTTTGCCAGAGCCCAGCAGCCGCACAGATTCCGAGAGTGCCTCCAGTGGTCCAGATGCAGAAGGTGAAATGTTGTGTGGGAAGAAAGGGGAAATTTTTGCAGACAAATCTTTATTTTCTAGTATCACAAATTAATTATCTAAATTTATAATTAGAGGAATATGGGTAACCATATCATTGTGTAACAACCACAGAGTGTACAGATACATATTTTACAACTATTAAAATGATTATAGGCCAGGCAGGGTGGCACACACCTTTAATCCCAGTGGCTCAGGAGACTGAGGCAGGAGGATCACAATTTCAAAGCCAGCCTCAGCAATTTAGCGAGACCTTGTCTCAAAATAAAATATCATTAAAAAGGGCTGGGGATGTGCTCAGTGGTTAAGCATCCCTGGTATATACCTAGTAATATACCAATCCCTGGTATATTAAAAAAATGATTATAAAAGAACTTGTAATAATAGGAAAAAATACTTAGTGGGGGAACTTAGAAGTCTGGAATAAATACGTCAAAATATTAATAGTACTTGTCTTTATTAATAGAACTTTTTTTTAATTTTCCAAGCTTTTGAAAATTTTTTTATCAAGGAATGAAATTATTTTGTATCTCTTTGGAAAAATATACATCTAATTTCCCTAGATGACTTTAGCAAGTATACACTAAGAAAGTCTACACTATAAACCTTAATTAATTTGAATATTAAGAAAATGTAAGCTGTGGTAGTGCGCATCTGGAATCCCAGCAGCTCGGGAGGCTGAGACAGGAGGATCATGTATTCAAACTCAGTAGACCCTATCTCTAAATAAAATATAAAATATGGCTGAGGATGTAGCTCAGTGGCTGAATGCCCGTGAGTTCAATCCCTGGTACCCAAAAGAAAGGAAGGAAGGTGGGAAGGAAGGAAATAAATATAGTTTTCTAATACTGATCTTTCTGCCTTCCTAATTAAAGAGTCAGAGACCATAAAATCAAAAGTGGGATAACTAAGGCATTGTATATTCATTTATTTCAAGCTTTGTTGAAAATCTTTGAAATACAGTTATTAGATAATTCTTTAACTAGAAAGTTTAACTGTGTTCTTATGGATATAAATTACTCTGGTGAGTAAATTCATTATGTACTTAATGTGTTGAACAAGAAAATATGTTTGGTTCATTCACATGCTATTATTTGCAGTTGGTTCTTATTCACACATTTTTGTTGGGAATTATTTCACTCATGTCTTTGTATTCAGTTAGTTCATTTATCTGGCAATATATGCAGTTGGCTCATCTGCTGTTGAATATTGTTAGCTCTCATGTGCTATTGTACACAGTTGGCTCTCATCCTTGTGCCATTGTATACAGTTGGCTCTCTTTTGTGTGCTGTGGTGTATATTTAGCTCTCACTTATTCGCTACTACATACATTTAACTCTCATTCAATCATTCATTCATTCATTCATCTGCTTTCATATATACTTGGTTTTCATACACTGTATGCAATTGGCTCTCAGCCTTGCCGTGTTGTATGCAGTTGATTTACTCACATGCTGTTGTATATAGTTGGCCCTCACTTGTGCTCAGTAACAATGTAAGGTAGCTGTGCTGCTGATATCCCTGCAGGCAGCCTGTTAACGAGAGGCCACAGGGATTCTGGTTGAGAAAGCCTCTCTTTGCTGTAAGCTAACAGCACCTCCCAAGCTGTTTGGTGGTACTAAGCTAGGACAAACTTCTGGAAAATGGAAAGATGTTAGTGCTACMTAGACAGATATTTCTCTTACATAAACTGTTTCATCGTGATCAAGGGTCCTGGTCCCTCAAGTAATTACTTTCTTCCAATGGCCTATGTAGCCTGTGCCACCTCCTCCAGACAGGTTTCTGGGAACAGTTATGGGCTGGTGAGAACAAACCTAATTGCCCTACAAAGAACAGAGGAGAGGGGCTGGGTCTGTAGCTCAGTGGTAGAGTGCTTGCCTAGCATGTGTGAGGCACTGGGCTTGATCCTCAGCACCACATAAAAATAAACTAATAAAATAAAGGCATTCTGTCCATCTACAACTACAAAATTTAAAAAAAAACACAGGAGAATTGAGCAATTAGGATTCATTATATTTAAATAGCTGTGGCACCTAGGCACATTTAATGGTAACATTATTGAAACTTCGAATACATTGTTACAAGTAACATTTTTAGAAGTTGTTGGGCAAAATAATACTCTTACTTCATTTTCTCCTTTGCTTTCTGGTCCCTGGGAGCTGTTTTTAGAAGGAAATGGTGAATAATGATCACTGCCATGGAGTGGGTGGGCAAGGGCATGAGGGCTTGGCAGCAGGCCTACACCTGTCAGTTGTTTCCTCAGATGGGGCCTCTGAACCTCCCTGACCTGATCCCAACTTTGTGTTTGCCCTCACCATCTGGCACTGTCCTCAGAAGGCCTTTTGGAGCATGGATGGTTGCCGTCTGCTCTGTGGAATAGCTCCTACAAGAGGTCCTATTAGTTAATTTAATAACTTATCATGAACTGAAACCATTAACCCAGTTTTTCAGAACAGTTTTAAACCACTTATTAATCAAAGTTGGGCTGGGAAGTTGATATTTTGAATGCTTATAGCTTATCTCTAAACATTTTTATTTCCCTTTTTTTTTTTACTGTAACCCCCATGAAGTAGACCATTTAAGAACACTGGAGTAGATAAGGTTGGAGGAAAGGTATGAATCAGCAGTGTTTACTTACTTTACCTATGTCCTCCATAATGAAAGAATATTCRGAGTTCTGCACTGTACTGCATCAGGCAGGTGGGGCATGATGCCAAGGTAGGCCTGCTGCCTTCCTGGAGCCTTGAGGGGGCTCGCTAGGAGCCTGCAGCAGGAAAAAGTCAGGGCCCAGGATATACACCTCTTTCTGACCACCTCCAAGGATCGTACAGGAATAAGACATAGAGACATTGAAGAGGAAAGAAAGAAGAGGTTCTGAATTTCTTCAGTTGCAATTTTAAGGAAAGAGAACATGAGGACTAAAGCTGGAAAAGAAAATGTCAGAGTGTCCCTACTTTTCAAAGAAGTACTTCCAGTCGTTGATTTTATTTTGAATTTCCAGAATCAACTGATCACCTGGATGGTAACTTCTTAAAGACTGTGAAAGATAAGACCTGGCTCATGTTTGCCTTGGCTGCTACCATTTCTGGCCCCCGCCAGTTTCCTCCACACACTGTGCTCAGGGCTTTGCTCAGACCTGTTCTGTAAGTACCAGTCCATGGGCAGCTCACACTGATTGCCCTTAGCACCCCTACCACCCATCTGGCCTTTACAGTGACATCTGAATTCCTCATGGCACTCAGRGGCTACTTCTCCTTCCAGGAAGCCTTCTTTGAACCCCTAGTCTAGGCCTTTCATTATAACATTTACTCTAGGCCCATATTTGCATCTGTCAGTCCTGAGCTTCATGGGACTCGACTATGTTCTTTGTCTCATTTTCCCTGGTTCCTGGCCCAGTGCCTTGTGAAAAGTCAGAATCCAGTGCTTATTAACTATCAAACTTGTTCCAGGGCTTGTGTGTATCTGTGATGAAGACAGTACTGTGCTCAGAAGCCAGAACAAGACCCAGATTTCAGCAGTTCATTCCACTCTGCCTCCTGTCTTTCACAGACTCCGATTTCTTTCAAGTTTATCATTAGTTAGGAGCAGGTGGGCAGAATTGTAGGAAAGGGAAGTGGTGTTGTTAAACCTGAATTCCAGTCTTAAAATGCATAATTTTATGCAAATGGGGTTTTTTCAGAGAACTTTCCCCACCTGGGCTGTGGTTTAAATTGCAGCAGAACCGTAGGTAAGTGGAGGCTCCTGCTCTTTCCTCTTCCACAGGGCATCATTTCTCTTCATGTTTCATGTTCTAAAGAGCCTGTGAACCCTTGGCTACTAGTGACAGAACAATTCTCTCCACAGATTATACCAAAAGAAAGCCTTGCTTTTAGCATATTTTCTGTGGGAAATGCACACCAATCTTCTTTAGCATGTTAACTCATTTATTTGGCAGGAACACTGCTTTGCTCACTGTCTTGGAACATTCATAGGATGCTGCCCTACATGAAGTTATATAATCTATTGCAGTTATATTAAAATTCCTCTGGGGTGGCTAGAATCATAAGTAATGTTTGTCCTCAGAATATACTGAATCACATTCATCTCTGGGTGACTCACATTACAGGATTTGGAGACTCTAGATGATGTCTAGTAGATACACATGACAGGTAGGAGCTGCTGATTAGAAAGTGTCCCATCCTTACTACTGTCCAGAAGCATGTTCCTGAGCACCCGAGTAAGATACAAGTCTAATCACTTAAGAAGAAAATATCTCTTATCCTTAGCATTCCTAAATGGTGCACCACCAAGAAAAGTGCGTATTGGTGAGCTGTCAAGTTTTCATCCAAAGTCCAACTCCAGTATTTGAGAGTTCAGTTCAAAGAAAACATGAATCATTAAGTTCATTAGGTTTTGGAAATATGTTCTTTGTATCAAGTCAGACCATAGGAAAGCCATATACCTGGTTTATGTTACTGTACCTGTCCATAAAAAAATACTGACTTGGAGTTTCATTTTTATATTCATCTTTTATTGCAGATTAGTTAAAGACATAGAATGTTTATTGTTTCTTTTCCTTTGCTTATTATAAAACGATCTGTTAAAATTTTATTACTTAGCTTGGAGTAGTGGTGCACGCCTATAATCCCAGCATCTTGGGAGGCTGAGGCAAGAGGATCACAAGTTCAAAGCCAGCCTCAGCAAAAGTGAGGGACTAATCAACTCAGTGAGACCCTGTCTCTAAATAAAATACAGAATAGGCCTGGGGATATGGCTCAGTGGTTGAGTGCTCCTGAGTTCAATCCCCAGTATGCCCCCCCACAAAAAAATTATTACTGAGCATAGTGCAATCACTAACATTTACATAAAAATTCAGAAAAATGTTTGGATTTTATGAACTGGTATACTTACTGGACATGAGTGTGTTTCTTGTTGATGCCCTTTATTCTTCAGCTACCGGGAAGCTCAGCCTTTAGCCTTTCATTGTTTTCATTCATTTGCAGTT